CGCCACCTTAGGTGTATGTGGCTGGCGCCTCAGCCACTCGAGCCACAGGCGCCACCCCACATATTCATTTTTAAATTATTTGTATATATGCATCATATTATTAAAATAGGACCAATTTCTAAACTGACCTGTTCTTTCAAATGACTTAACTTTCAGGCTGGCTGGGCGGTGGCTCAGGACTCTAATCCTAGCACGGAGACTGAGGTGGAGGAAGCCCTTCAGCTCAGCAGTTCCAGATGAGCCCAAGCAAGAACAAGACCTGTCTCTCCTAAAAATAGAAAAATGAGCCAGGCTTGCGGTGTGGCAGGTGCTCATGGTTGCTGCTACTGGGAGGCTGAGGCTGGAGGATGGCCTGAACCTAGGGGTTTGAGGTTGCTATGAGGGCAGGCCTGGCACTGTAGCTGGGGCAACATCAGGAGAAAAGTACCAGATGTGAAGTTCACTGGGCCAGGGCTAATTCCTTAAGTACTGTAATAAAGGTTAATTGAAAGAATTTCAGTTTTGAAACCTCCCACGTTTTGCCATCTCAGCATTTTATCTTTAAGAAACCCCTGATGTCTAGCTTTTATTTTTTTTGGGGGGGGGGCTTTAAAAGTAATGATTTTGAACTTTTTAAAAAAGACATCTTCTATGTGACACTTTTTCGTCAGCTGACTTTATCTGTTTATTGCCACCCCAAATACTAGACTAATATGCTAACATCCGGTAACTTTGCCTACTCAAAATCTTTTGTTTCTGAGTTTGAGGAAGCGCCTTGAAGACAAATTACAAAGGAGAGCGCATGAGGATGTAAAACTGCCAAAACGATAATGTTTTGTTCTCATCATTTCTGCAGCAACTTCCCGAAATCCAGTGAACTGGAAGAATTCCTAATATTGTGCCCCTTTAATTTTCGTCAGCCTAGTCTTCAAATCAACAATACTAAAATTGGTCACCCAGCTTTCCTGTCCCAGAAGGGCAGAGACCAAGAATAAAGAGCTGCTTCAGAAGCTCCTGAGGCAGAAGCCCGCTGAGAAAGCAAGTCAGAGGGCTGGGCAGGTGGCTGAAACCGCAGTCCTGACACACCGGGAGGCCGAGGCGGGAGGACTGCTTGAGCTCCAACTGGACAGACTGGCCTGAGCAGGAGCAAGACCCGCGACCCATCTCTGCGGAAAAACCCGTCTCTGCTGGAAACAGGAAAATTAGGCGGGGGCAGGCAGGGGGGTGTCGGGTGCCTGTACTCCCAGCTCCTCCGGAGGCTGAGGCAGGAGGATCGCTTCAACCCAGGAGTCGCAGGGAACTATGAGTTAACCAGGTGTAGCGGAGTCTCTCACAAGAAAAAAACAAAACAAAACCCAGTCCCAGGAAGTGATTTCCGGGCGGAGTGGGAGGGGCAGCTGATTTCCGGTCCAAGAGCAGGGGACGCTATTGCGCAAGCGCGGTTCCACTTTGCTGGGTTTTTTTTTTCCCCCTTCTCCCCTCCCCCCTCCCCCAAGCCTGAGGGGTCTTGAGGTGACAGCGCCTGCAACTGCGACTCCAGCAGGAGAAGAAGATGGGCAAGAGGAAGCTCGGGCGACGGCGATCTTCACCCGGTGAGAAAGGGTCGGAGGGACACAGAGATACTGTCTTGGTCCCTGGGCGAACGGGAGGCGCAGGCAGCGGCTGGGGCTGCGGCTCGCAGCGGCCAGGGCCAGCGTGAGGGCGGGGGCTGGGAGTGGAGGGGGCGCGCACAATGGAAACCTCCCAGGGCGCCCCCGCCCCTCGAGTCGGAGACCCAGGCGGAGCTGTCAGCTAACCCAGGCAGCTCTTCCCCTTGACACCCCTTTCATTTCTTCCCTCCTTCCGCGAACACCCTCCTCGAGTCTCATCGGCCTGCAGATGGTTTGGGTTGGCTTGCCACTCTCCTGCCACGCCTTCCTGCTAATTCCACCAATGTTCAGTTTCATTTCTAGCTTCTCCTAGTCTGACCCCACTTTCTTTTATTCCTTCGATTCTCACCTGTCTCCCCCCTTCGCCCCCCGGGCAGATGGTAGCTGCAGCTCAGGAGGAAAGGTGGGACTTGCTAACTGACACTTCTTTCCTCAGATGAAAGCCTCCCCGTGTCTCTTTCTTCTGAACAGGCCGGCTTAATAGCCTTTTTCTTCTCCAGCCTCCGCCTGCATCTTCTAAAAGTGATTGCAGAGTTGAACAAAGGATTCGAAGCCATTGCATTTGTTGTGTTTTTTATCTCAGCATGTTTTTGTTTTTTGAAATTGCTGTAAGTTTTAAATGACCATCTCTACAGTTTTGCATACAACGTCTTGGAAACACGAAAGTGGAGTTACAAGACGTGAGGTAGAGCTCCTCCGAGTCAACAAGTTTTCGTGAAACATTTCATACATTAAGGGTACCCCAAGGCCTGTAGACGGAAAACAGAACCAAGACTGATAAGATTATAGTCCAGCACACAGACTAACACTCAGTGAATCAATTATTTTATTTCATTTTTTCATTTCTTATGATACCATTTATTTTTGTAGAGACAGTGTGAATTCTGTATTTATTTAGTTTTGCCCTGTGCTGGTGTCATCTTAAACATTTTCCAGATTTAACTGCAAAGGAGAGTGACTCCCAGATCTTTGGGGACATTGTCTGAAGCAGTTGAAAATCTGAGATCTGGCCCAGGTGGTGGCTCATGCCTGTAATCCTGGCACTCTGGAAGGCGGAGGTGAGTGGATCGCTTGAGCTCAGGAGTTTGAGATCAGCCTGAGCAAGAGTGAGACACTGTCTCAAAAAAAAGAAAAGAAAAAACCTGAAATCCCTTTTCATATGCAACTAATGTTAATCATTTTTGGTGTGTATTCTAGAGATAGTAGATAATCTTTAACTTTGAAAGTATGTTTGGGCTAGGTGAGGCGGCTCATGCTTGTAATCTCAGCACTCTGGGAGACCTAGGTGAGTGGATCACCTGAGCTCATGGGTTCCAGACTACCCTTAACCAGAGCAAGACCTCATCTCTAAAAATAGCTAGGCATTGTGGTGGGTGCCTGTAGTCCCAGCTACTTGGGAGGCTGTGGCAAGGGGATCACTTGAGCCCAAGAGTTTGAGGTTGCTGTGAGCTATGATGCTACGGCACTCTATGGAGGGTGACAAAGTAAGACTGTCTCAAAAAAAAGTATAGTGTTTGTGATACACATATATATATACACACACATATATGTTTACATAAAAATGTGTATATGCCTCCCATAAGGTCAATGTTTGTTTTAATAACTTCCCTCTAACCCCCCAAACTTTTGAGTGGAATTGATGCATCGGGAAAATGCAGTGTTTATCTGGTATCATTCACACACTTTCTAACACTGAACTTTAAGTGTAATCATACCTCAGTTTAAGATGCATAGCCTTTTTTCTTTTCTTTCTTTTTTTTTTTTTTTACAGTTTTTGTTTGGCTGGGGCTGGGTTTGAACCTGCCACCTCCGGCATAAGGGGCTGGCACCCTACTCCTTTGAGCCATAGGCGCTGCCCAGCATAGCCTTTTTTCAATAAATATATTTCATCTTGCCTTAATACATTCTTGGGGGGAAAGGTTAAGATATTAGCTTTGTACTTCAGCAAATCCTATCCCCTTTACCTGATTACATTTGATTTATTTATTACAGTTAATTTGGTGTAAGCAGTTGTAGGATGTGAATTTAGACAATAAAGCTGCTAACACATTGATACTTTTTTTTTTTTTTTTTTTGAGACAGAGTCTCATGCTGTCGTCCTGGAGTGCTATGGCATCATAGCGCACAGCAACCTCCAACTGTTGGGCTTAAGCGATTCTCTTGCCTCAGCCTTCCAAGTATCTGGGACTACAGGTGCCTGCCACATGCCCGGCTAGTTTTTGGTTGTAGTTGTCATTGTTTGGCAGGCCTAGGCTGGATTCGAACCTGCCAGCTCTGGTGTATGTGGCTCGTGCCCTAGCAGCTGAGCTACAGGCACTGAGGCAGGACATTGATATTTCTATGAGGTCTCTAAGGAGGGTTTCTTTTTTCTTTTACTTTTTTTCCTTTTTCCTGATGACCTTCCTTTTCAAGCTTTTTTCCCCTGAGATATGACACATAATAAAAACCATTCCCAATTCTAATATTACCTAGGTATTCCTCACTATGCCTCTAGCTTTCAGATATGAATGTTAATTTTTAGGAATGGTACTGCCTTTTAAAAATTTTTTATTTTTTTGAAACAGAGTCTCACTTTGTCACCCTGGGTAGAGTGCTGTGGTGTCATAGCTCACAGCAGCCTCAAACTCTTGGGCTCAAGCGGGCTCAAGCAATCCTGTTGCCTCAGCCTCCCAAGTAGCTGGGACTACATGCACCTGCCACACACCTAGCTATTTTTTATAGATGGGGTCTTGCTCTCGCTCAGGCTGGTCTCAAACTCTTGAGCTCAGGCAGTCCACCCCTCTCAGCCTCCCAGAGTGCTAGGATTACAGGAATGAGCCACCTTGCTGGGCCCTGCTTCTTTTTTTTTCAGACAGAGTCTTAATCTGTCACCCTTGGTAAAGTGCCCTGGTATCAAAAAGCTCACAGCAACCTCAAACTCCTGGGCTCAAACGATCCTCTTGCCTCAGCCTCCTGAGTAGCTGGGACTATAGGCGCACCAAAACACTCAGCTATTTTTAGAGTTGGGGTCTCGCTCTTACTCAGGCTGACCTCAAACTCCTGAGCTCAAGCTATGTGCCTGCCTCAGCCTCCCAGAATGTGAGTATTACAGCCACTAAAAATGCTACTTTTTAATAGTGTATGTTTAATTTTCTCATGAAAGTTCTCAGAAATAAAACATCAGTTGGTTGAAAGATTCTGTGGATTCTGTGTAATGGTTGTATGCATACAGTTGCTGTTTCATTAGGAGTGTTATTAACTGGAATCCAAATGAAATAACATTCATAATCATCAAAATTTCATAAGTATGAAAAGAAGAATTTGATTAATAAAATAGGAAGAGGTATAAAGAAGGTGGATAGCAGTTGAAAGAGAAAACAAGTCACAAAATTTGAAGTTCTGTGTGAGACTATACCAGGCTGCCCTGAACATTCTCCTGAACAAGAAAGAACCACTAATGTTTACATAGTGTATTAGATAGTGTATCACTGAGAATTTTTTTAGTTGAAAGTAGCAGTAACCAATTCCAACTTGTTTAAACTAAACACAAAGTAAGTTTTTGTAACTCACATAGCTGATAACTGTAGCATATTAAAAGCAGTAAATTAGATGGAGATATAGATTAAAAAAAAGACTGGTACCAGAGATAATTTCACTAACAGTTGAATGAAATGATAAAGTATATTGGGGTAAGGGAGAGTGACCACTAAAATGATTAACAACAAAAATATAGCTTAGATATATTAGAGTCACAGATTACAATTTTCAAATGAATTTTTGAATTCAAAACAGGAAAGTTCAAGCAACCAGTTTTCTTTTTTCTTTTCTTTTCTTTTTTTTTTTTTTTTTGAGACGGAGCCTCAAGCTATCCTGCTGGGTAGAGTGCCATGGCATCACAGCTCACAGCAACCTCCAACTCCTGGGCTCA